TATATATATATATATTTATTAACTATTTTTTAATTTTAATATAATGTTATTAGAAATGTAGCGTTCGTCAACTCGATTAAAATATTAAGTTGATGAGTTATTAGTAGCATACTACTAATTAAACTATATAACCGATATGCATTATATAATATTTAAAAGTATAATATTAAAGTTGATATATATACTATTTGCGTTGGACTTTTTTTTTCTTATGTGAAGACTGTTCCAGTAATTTTTATTTTTATTTTTATGAATTTGTCTTTCTTAAAACAATACGAAGCATATCATGACAACACAATTTTATTGTTATCTTTAAGTTTTTAAGATAAAATGAAGTGTTTTTGGATGAAGAATTTAAATAAAATAATTTTTTTAAGAATTCTAAATATTTTGAAATGAAATATTTTTTTTATGAAAAATTTATAACGAATTTGAATTTTTTTATATTTTTTCTTTCTTATCTCACTTATATATATATTTTTATATTTTTTTATCTCTTAATTATTGAATATTAAAAAATATCTTTTAAATTATTAAATATTATCTAATATTAATATTTAAAATTATTAAATATTTAAAAATTGATTAAATTTATTTTTATAAAATTTAATCTTAAAATCTCAATATATATATATATATATATAATCAATTTTACTCTACTAGAAATCAAATTATCATATCTAAACAAGTAATTTAAAATTTCAAAATTTTAAATTAACTTACTCAAACAAAACATTTAAAGATGATAAAAAATGAAATCAAAATAATTTAAATTCCAAAAATCTTAAATTCCTTTAATTTCTCATCATCTAAACACACCTCTGAATTCTTAAAATAATGCAATATTTTTTTGTGAGGGAGATATTTTGATCATGTTTTTTTTTCAAAATAATATTTTTTATAAAGTTTTAAGAAGACGCATTATCAAACAATAAACATCCAAGAAAAAAATGTTATGAATATTTAATGGTGATTTATTATTATTATTATTATTTTATTTTAACATTCTTAAATTATTTATATCTATTTAATTGTGGTTTATGTCTATAAATAGACTATTTCATTGTAAATATTATAAAAAAAATATCTCAACTCCTTCCTTTATGTTGTTTTCTAATATAGTTTATAGTTTTCTGTTGATTTTTATAATAAATTCAAAAAAAATATTTTAATGTTTATACGTCTATGCATATTATAAAAAAATACATCTTTTTGGTTCGTTCGTTCCTGGAGTATCCACCGCGGGCAGCGGTGACTAATCTCCTCACTACGTTGGAGGCACCTCAAAGGGTGGGATAACTGGTCCCAAGATTTAACGCGGCTGCATAACTTTTAAAAGGTAAACTTTATATAAAATAACCTATAAAAGGTAATAATAAAATTTGAATGGTATAGAAGGGAATAGTAAATTAATAAACTAAACGAACCATCAGGAATGTGAACATGCAGGATGATTGATTCTGGCGTTTCCTGTGTTTCATATTTGGCTTGCAAATCTTGGTAGCTAGATTGAGATTGAGTGGTGGGCATTTTCCAATTTCCAATTTAATTTCTGTTTTTTGTTTTCGATTTCAACAATGGTATAGAAACTAGAAAGAATGAATCTTGAACATGATTTTGTGGTGCCTCTCATCTTTATAGTGAATAGTTGACATGTTTTCTTAAAATTGAAACCATTCCTTTTCGGCTGCATGCATGTTCCTACGTGATTAAGCTTCATCAATTTCCCCACTCATGTGTGAGGTATAACTTCTTCAATAAACAAAGTCAAAGTTCTTTGTTTGCCTCGTACACTTCAAATTCCAGAAGGAGTTATAACTTTTTTTTAGTTTTCATTTTTAAATTAGATACTTTTACTCTTAAAACTAAACCGGGCATTCTATAATTTGTTTTTATAGTTTGAACAACAAAAAACTCACGCTTACTAACTTTTAGGTTAGTTATTTTAAATCTCAATACTTTTTTCCTTTTTCTCTTACAATCATATTATTCTCTCAAAATTCCTAAAAATTAAATATAGGCACTTCACATCTCTTTTCTTCAAAATATATATATATAAAGAGAGAGATAAAGAAGATTCATTAAATTATTAAAAAAAATGATCGTATAATCCTTCAACTATATACTTTGTGTCTATGTGTTCTTTATTTAGATAAAACATAAAATAATAAAATTAATTTTTAAAAAATATATATAATGTTAAGATAATTGTTGCTACAAAGTTTGTAATGATAGAGTAATCATGAATGAAAACTAAAAATTAAATTTAATCATTTTTATAGTTAAATGAACAATGTAATCAAAAGATAGACTATGATATTGAGGAATAAAATTGACTATTTAAAAAGTAAAAGATCAAAATTGTGTATATCTTTTATTTATTATTAGAGGGCTCAAGGCACTTCGTGTGTAACAGCCCATTTTTTCGTGGGCCAAAGGCCCAATTCGTGGCCCAGCCCCATATGTTCTCGTGATCAATACAAAATCCATCTAATAACCACCGTCTTAATTTTTTGACATTAGGGTAAGGCATAAAAAGATGTATACCTCCTCTTCCATCATTTTTCGACTAAAATAATCATGATACCAACACAATCAATTTTAATCGAGATGAGGGACAGAAACAAATATATAGGGCTTTCATGCTCTATATGTTCTCAAGATCAATACAAAATGTATTTAATAACCAACGTCTCAATTTTTCGATATCAGGGTATGGCATAAAAAGATCGTATACCTCCTCTTATATCATTTGTCGACTAAAATAATGATCATACCAACACAATCATATTTAACCGAGATAAGGCACAGAAGCAAATATATAAGGCTTTCATGCCATATATGTTCTTAGGATCAATAAATAATGTATCTAATAATCACCGTCTCAATTCTTCGACATTAGGATAAGGCATAAAAATATCGTATACCTCCTTTTCCATCCTTTGTCGACTAAAATAAATCATACCAACACAATCAATTTTAACCGAGATGAGCGATAGAAGCAAATATATAGGGCTTTCATGCCCTATATGTTTTCATGATCAATACAAAATGCATCTAATAACAAAAGTCTCAATTTATCGACATCAGTGTAAGACATAAAAAGATCATATACCTCCTTTTCCATCATTTGTCGACTAAAATAATCATCATACCAACACAATCAATTTTAACCAAGATAAGGGACAAAAGCAAATATATCGGGCTTTTATGCCCTATATTTTCTCATGATCAATACAAAATGTATCTAATAACAACAATCTCAAGTTATCGACATCAGGGTAAGACATAAAAAGATCGTATACATCCTCTTCCATCATTTGTCGACTAAAATAACCATGATACCAACACAATCAAT